TAAAGCTTTTGATTTCTCTGTCAAATCTGAATGAGATCCTTGCCCAGTAGAGTAATCTTGATTGTAGGTTCTTCCCTTTCATCACTTTAAATATATCGTGCCACCCCCTTCTGGCTTGTAGAGTTTCTGCTGAGAAATCAGCTGTTAACCTTATGGGAGTTCCCTTGTATGTTATTTGTCGTTTTTCTCCTGTTGCTTTTAATATTTTTTCTTTTTCTTTAATTTTTGTCAATTTAATTACCATGTGTCTTGGCATGTTTCTCCTTGGGTTTATCCTGGGACTCTCTGCACTTCCTGGACTTGGGTGGCTATTTTCTTTCCCATGTTAGGGAAGTTTTCGACTATAATCTCTTCAAATATTTTCTTGGGTCCTTCCTCTCTCACTTCTCTTTCTGGGACCCCTCTCATGCGAATGTTGGTGCATTTAATGTTGTCCCAGAGGTCTCTTAGGCTGGCTTCATTTCTTTTCATTCTTTTTTCTTTATTCTGTTCCATGGCAGTGAATTCCACTATTCTGTCTTCCAGGTCACTTACCCGTTCTTCTGCCTCAGTTATTCTGCTATTATTCCTCATTATGACCGTTCGACAATCGCTTTCCCTGCTAGGGATTTTAAAGACAAAAATCACATCTATTTTTGAAATCTTTTAATCCGAAACATAGTGACTGACACATAGTCACTCTTAAAATTGAGTAAATGGATTCGTGAGCAAATGCATGAATGAGGCAGCCAGTCATTGAATTATTTGGAGAATTATTACTCTGGGAATGAGGTCAGATATCACATATATAGGGTGATGAAAAAAACTCAGCAAACAGTACTCTTACTGTTCCATTGCAGACATTTCCAAACACTGCCTCCTGGTACTGGCTATACCAGAGCCCATAGGGAGCTAACATATAGATGCCTGGACCTGCCTTCTGAAGATTCTACATCAGAAAGTCTGCGATGGGTCTCAGGAGTCAGCGTGTTCAAAGGTTCCGCAAGAGCCTTGCAGCCTGCCTGAGGTCAGGCAGGGAACTGGCGCGGGCCATTTCACCTGGCCTTAACTCTGCCGGTTCCACTATAAGGACAAAAGGTGATGGCCCTGGCACTGGTCTGGTAGGAATCATGGGGAGGGCAGAGCACCCCAGTCCTGCTTGGAGGACTCGGGGAAGCCCTGCTAGCCATTGGCTGTCTCTAATTCTTCCTGAGGTTATTGACAGGGAAGATGTGATGAATACCCAAGTTGCTACGGGCAAGTGAGCCTTCTTGGGGTTAGTGCAGGGTTCCTATAAATCACTGTTGATTCCTTATGTGTTTCACTTTGTCTTCTCTTTTTCACCTCTTCATCCCTTGTGATCTTCCAAATGGGCTGAACGACACTCCCCTTATTCAGCCTGGGCTGTAAGCACCAGGAGTGGTAAATACTTTCTGTGGATGATGTTATTTGATGAAAATCCAAGCTGTGACATTGTAACAGAGGGGTAGCAGTGGAGGCTTGTGAGGATCCAGCCTGGCTTCAGTGCAACTTCTTCTATTGCTTATTTGGGAAACTTAGCTATGTCTCGGGATTCATACACAGTACTCTGAAGTTTCCAAGGGTCCTGGCATGTTGCTCCAATATAAATTAGGGCAAGAACAACGAGGCAGAGTCTCATGTCTTTGGAGAACAATTTCTAATTCTTTGTTAAGTCATCTCTCAATCCAGCTCCGACCAGTTTAGCATCATTAAAATAACTGTTCTGTTCATTAACTTTAGAAGATTTTGGTTTTAGAGTGAACAGAATTTGACATTATATCAAGATGCCATGTGGTGGGTAAAAGCAGGCACTCAGGCAATCTGGGCTTAAGCCCTACCTCCAGCTCTTGCTAGCTGTGTGATTAGAACAAGTCAGTTAAACTTTTCTGGCCTCAGTTTCCTCATCAGTAGAATGGGGATAATTAAACTTCCCTGACAGATTGTTTTGGTGATGATTGAGTAAGGGGCCATGTGCCAGAAACTGCAAAATGTTTGGCACTTAGTAAGTGTTCAAATGTTAGCAATATTATCATCTATTTAGTGAGCAAACTTTTTTTAGCAACTCCTAGGTGCCATTTTTAAATAAAAAGACAAATTATAGTGCTATGTACTCATATGAAAAGATATTTACAATATATTTTCAAATTAAAAATGGAAGTTCAATATATTGTATGATGTTTTATAAACAAACTTTAAAACTATATATGTATGTATATTTATATGTATGGGTGTATATGTTTGTCTGTATTGTGTACGTGTACATGTATTTCGCATGGAAATGCATCTGGAAAAACATCTGTTGGCAAGGGATTATTAGTGCAGAGACAGCTCCATTTTTTAATTTACTTTATTGTCATGGTTGAATTTTGAAGTCATGTATTAACGTTATAATAAAATTGAAAATAATAGTGAAATAAGATAAAATGAAGTCAACCAATATTATAAATGATCTAAGGAGTTAAACTGTACATGCTTTTTCTGATTCCCTCCACCCCCCTAAAAATAGATATGGAATATGGAAATGCCAGACTCACTCTACAAATAACCAAGAAGCTTAGAGCTCCAGTGACAGTTTTCCCAGCTACGTATCTGGATTTTTAGCCTGTGTGATAAGAGCTGACCTTTCTATAGCCCTGTCTCCTCTGAAATCTTTCTCTCCGAATTCCTGTTGCCCTGAGAATTTGTACCATATCATCTAAGAATTTGGAAATGTCCCTGTCATTTGCTTTCTTCCTGTATTATAGATGTGAGTCTTGTTTCTGAATCCTTATTGTAAGCTCTTTTAGAGCAGGGATTATGTCAAATTCTCCGGTATTTACCACAGTTGTTGACATAGCAGAGGGTGTGTAGCATTTGCTTGTAAGTACCCATTGACTGAATGACTGCAGATCTGATGTTACTCAGAATCGGCCCTGTTGCACTGTCATAATGGAAAACAACTTAACCTGGAGATTTCAATGGGTTAACACAACAAAGGTTTATTTCTTGTTCATAAAAGGCCATATGAACTGGCATAGGCTCTTTTCTGCTCAGTGATGAGGGATCCAGACTTCCTTCGTCTGGAGACACACATGTGGCTTCTAAGTTTGCTGAATGAAGGAAAGGAAGGAATGGAGAGACGTACTGACTCATAAATGTCCTAGGCCACTTCCATTCAAATTCCCATTTATCGGAAATCAGTCCCGTCTAGCTACCAGGGAGGCCAGGAAATTCAGGGGAGCACATAGCTACTCAGGAACACTAATTTCTGTGCCACGGATCTACCTCTTCCTGCAGAATAACCATGCCAGCTAGTTAGTACCCCATTCGTATCAGTGGGACAAACACCCACATGGATCATTAAACATGGCTCAGTTTATGTGAGTAACCGATGTGTTAGAAACTACCAGGATTCAGAATTTATCCATGCAGCAGACATTTACTGGTGCCTACTATGTGCCGGGCACTGTTGTAGGTCCTGGGAATACAGCAGGGAAAAAAAACAACAACAAAAAAAACCCAGTCCCAATTCCCTATGCTCACAGAACTGACTTTCTGGGAGAGGAAGGTAAACAATTAACAAGTAATCCAGAGAATCTCTATTGGTGATAATACTATGCAGAAAAATAAAGCAGTTGGGGAAACAGGGCACGTATTGGTGTATGTGTTGGGGGGTAGATTGTAATTTTAAACTGGTCAGGGAAAACCTCACTGAGAAGGTAACATGGAAGCAAAACCCTAGGAGTGAGGGAGCCGGTTATTTGGGTGTCAGGGCAAAGAGCCTTCCTGGAAGAGGAACACAGGTACAGATCCCAAGGTGGGACAAGGCGGGGCCTGAAATGTTTGCTGGATGGCAAGGAAGACGTGTAGCTGCAGTGAGTATGTGGGTGAGTGTGCGAGAGAGGCTGGGATGTCTGATCAGGGGTCTGTTGAGTACAGGCTGTAGAGCCTTGTATGTTACTTTAAGATCTATGGCTTCTGCTCTGTGTCATGTGAAGCCATTTGGGGGCTTTGAGCACGAGGAATGGCATGATCACTCTGGCTGCTATATTGGGAATTGACCATAGGGTTCGGGGAGACCAGTGACAGGTTATTGCAAAATTCAAGAATGAGATGGTGATGGCTTGGACCATTTCCATCACCCCAAAAAGAGGGGAGAAATTTTCAAGGGGAAAAGTGATTCACCAATACAAGATAGTTTTTGCTGATAAGATGTTAGCAAAGAGCCTCCCTGTAATATAATCTATTATTATCACAAGTCCAGTTGTATTCATCGGTGCTACCGACATTTATCCCACACAAGCTGCATGCCAGGACCCCTGTTAGGCACTTGGGACAGCAAGTAAGATCTGCCCCCTACCTTTGGGAGGCTCTCAGTCGTAGCAGGGTATAGAGATCCCCCCAAATATAACATCATCAGCACCAAAAACACACCCAGCTGCTGCAACACGATTATTTTACAAACATGATGGAAACGTTAGCCAAAACATATTGAGGGTTTACTATGTGCTAGACATGCCCTTGGATATTATTATGATATGATATGTGATAAAATTATTATAGTTTGATGCTCTTCTTTCTAACCAAACTAGACTGCTACAAAGTTAGGGAACTAGTGGCCAAAAACCTAATATTATAACCTAAAAGTGTTATTTCTGGGCTCTGCAATCCAGCATGACCAAGAACTCCGACACCCTAGTGCCTCCCAAAAACCCATTCTAGAAAATGCATGCGCTGTTTTTTTTCCAAATGTCTTCTCCCTTTATAACACATGGAATCATGTTACTAGTCCTTTAATCTCACTGATAGGTTAGCCTATTCAAGTCCTCGTTGTTGCATGTCTTTTCTTTCCTTTTAATCATCGCCTTGAAGAAGGTTAAGCTGAAACGGCTGCTCAGCTTCCAAGATGTTGCCACCCAAACTGCACGCGCTTTTCTGCCTCTGCACCTGCCTCACGCTGGTTCATCCCTTTTACTGGCAAGACCTAAATCCTGTTGCCTATATTGAATCATCAGGTAAGAGGTATATTTGTTCAAGGGCTTGAGCTACTGACCTGTTGCCAGACTCGAAGTGGTCCCAGGGAAGTTGCACGTGTGGACTTCCAAGAAGATTCTGATGAAGATGAGATCCTCAGTTCTCCCGGGGGAGGGGGGAGGGCCTCACTCTTTCCTCTTCTTAATGAAACTAGAGAAGTGCCTTCTTCTTCAACATCAGGACTGCAGGACAGCCTAGGATGAGGCCTTTTCAGACAAGCTGGAACCTCAGCGCGCAGTCACCGTAGAGAAGGTCCACACCACCCCTTCTATACCTCATTGGCCTGACCCATGCCCTCTCCGTGCAGTAACACACTTGCCCTGAAGTGCCTTCAGAGGCAACCCCAAACCTGCCCCTACGAAGGTGAAGGAGAGGCAGGAGTCTTGATCAACAGGTGAAGTCCTGGTTGATGGTGGAGTGTGTGAGAAGATGGCAATTTAGAGTTTGGGATCCAGAGGGGGACAATCTTTTCTATCTAATGACAGGCAGGAGCAGGGACCAGTAGGCACTCGGAGCTCCAGATGAGAATGGATGTGCATCCCTTGCTCTTTCTTACTTTGCAGGGTGGAGGGAAGGAGAAGAGGGGGAGGCTTAGTCAAGCCCAGGAGTGGTGGCCAGAATGGGACAGCCATCTCTAGACAGGGACATCTCCTGTCACCTAGAATAAACTTGATTGAAAAGCGATTCCTTCTGGAGCTTTGTGAATTCCTGCTAATCCCAGAGGGTTGGGATGCATGAACTTCTCTATCTAGTCTCCTCAGGTGAGCAGCATCAGTGGCCTCTGCAAGGTAACATACTGTCTGTACCCACAGACGCATGCACCTGGGGAGATATGGTAGCCCTGGATCTAGTTGTGTGGTCTTGATGGGTGACTCCTTACTGTGACATTTACCAAAGATCTTTCATAACCAGTGTCTTACAAATCTGGCCCTGCTTCATAGTTGGGGAAATGATTGCAACAGCAGAAAAGGGACCAGATCTTCTATCTATGTTTGCATAGGAAATGGCGTCATATCTCGCAGGTCCATTCATGCAACAATACTTATCAGAGAACTGAGGTGTACGTAATACACTGGTGACTAAGACAGAGGGTTTGTAGTCAAGCTCAAGGAGGTTAAATTAATTCTCCCATTACCTTATCTGTACATTGAAAACAGATAACATCTTACATGACGAGCAAACTCTTACCTAGGAGACATTTACATCATGTGCTTTTTATTGGCACAGAGTGGGAATTTCAAAACATGTTCTCTATTCCATGTCTGAAAATCACTGGAAAGCTGTTACTGGACAGTCAGAAACTTGAGGACACGCTTGATTCATCTTTGTCATCCCAGCCTGGAGCCCAAGGCCCCATTCATTTGAAATACTCAAAAATGAATGCATAAATATTTTTTAAATTATGCATAAATAAATTTAAAATTATTAGAAATAGTTTATTCAATAAAAGATGAAAATAATAGATGATTATTTGTATCATTCTTAATAAATGAATACATAGAAAATATGATCATGCAGCCAAAAAGTTTGTAAACATGGCTAGAGATATCCCATTTGCTAATGGAGGACATAAAGCCATATAAGAGAATGTCATTTTCCTAGCACGTGTACATTCCATCTCCAACCCCAGGAATGAACATCAGGACTATTTGATAAATGAACATCACCAAAAATGTATAATAAGATTAACAGCATACCATTGGTTCTAATGCTCCTATTAAAATAGAGTTGAAGAAAAATAGGAAGTGACACTTGTAAGTTCTGAACCACAAAACCATATCATCTACAGAGTGGCCATTCAACCTGGCAAGTCTCTTCCCTGCCTCCTCCTTCGTGATGAGTGCTAATAGTTGGTTAGAGAATGGGAAATCTAGGACCGTAACCAGATTAGCTGTGGGCTGGTGAACCTTTTCTTTCTTTCTTTCTTTCTTTCTTTCTTTTTCTTTCTTTCTTTCTTTCTTTCTTTCTTTCTTTTCTTTCTTTCTTTCTTTCTTTCCTTTCTTTCTTTCTTTCTTTCTCTTTCTTTCTTTCTTTCTTTCCTTCTTTCTTTCCTTCTTTCTTTTTTCTCTTTCTTTCTTTCTTTCCTTCTTTCTTTTTTCTTTCTTTCTTTCTTTCTTTCCTTCTTTCCTTCTTTCCTTCTTTCTTCTTTCTTTTCTTTCTTTTTTTCTTTCTTTCTTTCCTTCTTTCTTTCTTTCTTTTTTCTTTCTTTTCTTTCTTTCTTTCTTGTTTATTTTATTGAAGTATAGCTGATTTACAGTGTTGTGTTAATTTCTGCTGTACAGCAAAGTGACTCAGTTATACATATATATATATTCTTTTTTATATTCTTTTCCATTATGGTTTATCACAGGATATTGAATATAGCTCCCTGTGCTGTACAGTAGGACCTTGTTGTTCGGTGAACCTTTTCTGCAGCCTCCCTGGCACTCACCAGCCACAGGGCCCTGGAGGCCTACACTCAAACCTGGGTCAGCTCGAAGTTTCCTGAGACCTTTTCAGGGGTCAGATGTCCTGGAATACACCTCTCACAGTCCAACAGAAGGAAAGGAGCAGGCAAGCTAAATCTAGAAAACTGAATCCAGATACACTGATATATGGACTCACCATCCTGAAATTACATGAGGACTTGACTGGGGGTTAGAAAGGGGAACAGGTGAAACTGCAGGTGTGTTACAGGGTTTTGGCACCAGAAAGAGAAAATGTTTCAAGAGTGGGTGGGTAAAAGAATAGAGGCCATGGGCCTTCCCTGGTGGCGCAGTGGTTAAGAGTCCACTTGCCAATGCAGGGGACACGGGTTCGAGCCCTGGTCCGGGAAGATCCCACATGCTGCGGAGCAACTAAGCCTGTGTGCCACAACTACTGAACCCACATGCCACAACTGCTGAAGCCTGTGCACCTAAAGCCCGTGCTCTGCAATAAGAGAAGCCACTGCAATGAGAAGCCCGCGCACCGTAACAAAGAGTAGCCCCTGCTCGCCGCAACTAGAGAAAGCCCGCGTGCAGCAACAAAGACACAATGCAGCCAAAAAATTAATTAATTATTAAAAAAAAAAAATATATATATATATGCCGTCAAGCGTTTAGCAGAAACAAAAGAGACCCAGTGACAGTGAAAAGCTTAGTTTAACTCATTTTCACAGATATTTTTTGAGCACCGCTTATGTGCTAGACATTGTGTTAAAGATGTGAGGATACAAAGATATGGATGCAGCTCTTACGAAATAGCCTTGGGAGACAGAGTGTGCAGACACATAATTTTAATCTAATATGATAGGAAGAAAGATAAAAATATATACAGGGAATTGATTTGATACTGAGGATGAAACGATTAAGTCCGGTGGTGGTCAGGGCAGGCTTCAGAGAAGATCAAGATATTAAAGGTCGAATAGGAGTTTGCCATGGGGATTTCAAGCACAGGGAACAGCATTTACTAAGGTGTAGACGCACGGAACAGCCCAGTGCGTCACTCAGCAGTGCTGGAGCACAGGGAGGGAGATAACAAGGGAAAAAGCAGCAGAAGAGGAGGAGCCAGTGGACCTCCAGATCATGGAGGGTCTTTCTTACAGTGCCTGGGAACTTGGGATTTAACTTGTGTACCTGTGAACCTCTACGAGCTTCAACCCCCAAACACTGGAAAGATAAGCCACCCCACACTGGAAGCCATGTGTAGATTTAAATATAACCTACAAACTGCCTTCCAGAAAGATTCCAGTACATTCCCCCTTCAAGAAAAAATACCTGGTGATAATAGGAAAGCATTGAAGGATTTGAAGAATTGCCTGGTGAGATTCATGCTTTAAATCACTCCAGGAGTTGTGTGAAAGATGCAGTTGAAGGAGTCAGGATCCAAGGTGAACAGGACACTTGGGAGAGATGGCGACTGTCTGGTCAAGAACCGTTAAGGTGTAACTGAGACAGTTGAGCTAATGGGGTAAGGATACATTGGAGAGAGAATCCTAAGCTAAAAACAAATGTTAGAGATTGGAACTTGGTTGGATGTAGGGGATAGAGGAGAAAGGGTTAGGAGAGTAGCATGACTCCCAGGTTTCTGGCTTGGGATCCCCAAGCTAGGGAATTCTGGAGTTGCATGCTGTGTGTTTGGAAGATGAAGAGGGGGAGTTGGGAGATGGTCATTTAGTTTCATTCTGGACCATAGGCTTTGCTGTTCCAATAGGAGGGCTTCCAGTGGGAAGTCATGAGCCCAAATCTGAAAGGTGGATAGAGTTCATGTTTAGGAAAAGCAGATTTGGGAAGTGGTCTCTAATATGCTCTGGATAGGAGTAGAAGGTAAGGGCAAAGCTGGAAGGATTGGGAGCTGATCCTCAACATCTTAGGAAAAGGGCTATGTCGACCGCCATCTTTTTCCCCACACAGTACTTTGCATACAGCAGGCGCTCAATAATTATTTGTGTATTTTACTAATTAGTAAAGAAATGGAGGCAGGAAACTATGGGTAGTCACTTGATTCTCCTGGAGTTTCTTTGTGTAATAAAGTCTGGGGTGTAACGGCTGACAAGTGAAATAATATTGACCTGTTTTCCAGCGTGGGTCAAAAAACTACAAGCTCTGATGGCTGCTGCAATGTTTGGCCAAACTAAAATCCCCAGAGGAAATGGATCTTATTCCGTCGGTTGTACAGACTTGATGTTTGATTACACGAATAAGGTAGTGATTTGATTAATACCACTTATCCTTATATTCTAATATTGACTGTGGCTATGGCCCATGAGAAGGTTTTGAAACCTGACCTTGCCCTCACCTGAGAAAGACTTATTTTGCTATTAGTATGGTCTCCTGGGAAGCCTTTGGCAGTTTAATTCATTCCCCAATTCATTGCTCTCATCGGATTAACTATAAACTCTTTTTTTCTCCTTCTTTGATGGCGAAACCAGGCTGCTCATACTTTCTTTTCACTCAAAAAGCATACTGTTGTTCTATTTCTCTTCCTTTTGACTGCATTCAATCACTACGGCAACTTAAAAAGCTCTCTGGACCTCTTGCGCAATAGAAGTATTTGGCTCCCCGCTAATTAAGTATGCAAAATAGCTGTTAGAACATGTTTAAGAAGCAACTTGACTAAAAGTACATTAACTTCTTTCCTCTACAGGGCACCTTCTTGCGTTTGTATTATCCATCCCAAGATCATGATCACTGTGACACCCTTTGGATCCCAAACAAAGAATATTTTTTTGGTCTTAGTAGATTTCTTGGAACACACTGGCTTATGGGCAAAATTTTGAGCTTATTTTTTGGTAAGATTTGTGTTGCTTCTGCTTTTAGGCTCTAGAATATAAGAAAAGCTTGAAAATAGCAGGAGTTTCAGGCAGTGAAAGACCAAAGTAGATTGTCTCCAGTCCAGACATCTCCTAAGATGACAAAGTATTTCTTAAAAGGCCAGGTAACTATCAGAGAATCAAGGGTTCTCGTTTTGTCTATTCTGAATACGATGGGGTGCGTGGGGGGACTGAAGGTATCAGACTTTCAGGCTGGCTCTGACATCTCTCTATGGCTGGCCTGATTTTTGCTTCTTACATATTCTTGGAGGCAATCATGTGGTGAGACCAGCAGCTGGGCTGATGTGATTACTACCTTCTACGCTCTGCACTGAAGTGCTTTCTGCAGTTGGGCAAAGAGAGGAAGAAAACAGAAGCCTCCATAACCCTCCAGATCCTAAACAAAGGAGTGAAAGCTAGTTTCTTACATGTCATAAATGAGGAAACTACTCTCATTCCCATCACCGACCCCCAAGCGGCCAGCCTCTCTCACTAAGACAATCCGATGCGCATTCATCACTTAATATGTCTGTATTTCACTAATATTGAGTTGTCCTTCCTTATCTGTTTGACCAGACACTACTGTTGGGCTGATGCTAACCATGTCTTCAAATTTCCCCCTCAAAAATACCTACAACTTTTGGCATTCATTTTAAACATCTCGTTGGAGTTTTCTTAAGAATCAATTTATAAGAGAAATGATGAAAATATTATCACTACGCATCTTTACGATGCTGAATAACTTATAAGTCACTTCCATAGCAGTCATCACATGCAGTCTTCATGACCACATCTCCATCGTATTGATGAGAAAGTGAAACACAAATAATTGATGATAATGATGACAGTAACAAGTGAGGACTGAGGGAAGAAGAGACAACATCTTCCATTTTTTTGAGCCCTTTACTATGTGACTGGATAGATGTGCTTTACATTTTCCTACTTAAATATGACTCTGACAAAACCCCCATGACATAGATACCATTTCCCTCATTTTATAGGAGTCTGAGGCTCAGAGAGTTCTCTTGACTTGCCCAAGGTCAGTAGCTAGTAAGTGGCAGAGCTTCCTCCAAAGCTACATCTAAGCGCGCAGTCGAAGGTCTCTCCACCTTCCTCTTGATTTTGATCAAGTTAGCATGAGACGATTCTCCGATCTGAAGATTCTGGATCTCAGTGTAATATTCCTGAGGTTTACTGGTAGTTTAGTTTCAGAACATTCCCTCTGAAGTTTTGCCCAAACCTGGGATTAATCATAAGGAACGGCCTTCCCGAATACACCTCTAAGTAGGAAAATGTCTCACCTCAAGTTCAGAGCTGGCAGTGAGAACCGACAGTTAATGATCCTACGGTCCTAGGAAAAACACATAGTTCAGGCCCTTGGTTGGTGGTATCTAGTAGGAGACTTTTTTAATGAATTTACTATTAATGCATAAAAACATGAATTGCATGGGTCAGAATTTTATACTAAGGAGATATGCTAAATAGCAACACTCAAGTCAGAAAAAACGCTAATTACAGTCTCCCACTGCTGTCTAGGTTCAATGACAACTCCTGCAGCCTGGAATTCCCCTCTGAGGACTGGGGAGAAATATCCACTAGTTATTTTTTCTCATGGTCTTGGAGCATTCAGGTAAAGTCTCAGAGGTTGAAGGACTTTAGCTTCTAGGGACAAATGACTGAATGCAGTTTTCCCCCAGAAGAGGGACAGCAGATTATGGAGTGTCAGGCTGTCCCCTGTCCTGGAGGACTTGGCGTTCCTCAGGAATTAGCTGGGATCTGTTGATCGGTCCTATAGCCCTGTTTTTTCCTACCTCCAGCCCATGGAGACCAGCTTCACAACAGAGGAGACAGGCTGTCGCATTTTGGGTTGTTGTCTTTCTATATTATAGTATTTACACTCTCAAAATCATTCATCGTATTAGTTCAGGTCCTCCGAGAAACAGCCACCATGACTAGATTAGTGGTGAAAGACATGTATTACAAAATGCCCATGGAGGATAGAAGGGAAAGAGCAGAAGCAGAAAAGATGGGGACAGCTTTCATGATGCAGGCTGGACACCTGGGAAGGAGATGGGAGACAGAAGGACTGGATACGGAGCATCTCGAGACTGCAGCACAGTTCTAAGAAAGATTGGGCCAGGCTGATGGAGGGAGTGCTTGACCAAGAACTGCTCCTCAGGGCTTCCCTGGTGGCGCAGTGGAAGGCTAAAAAAAAAAAAAGAACTGCTCTTCAGAGGAGCTCTGCACCTCACAGGAAAGGACCTGCGTTAAACCCACACCATGTCCAGTCGCTGGGACCGACCCACAGGAAGCCTAGCTTTCACTCGGATCCACAGGGGTAGGAGCCGGGAGAGGTCTTTAGTCAACTGTGATCTCTGTGCCATGACGAGTGGCACATTTTCATGGCCACCGCACGCCCTCCACTTTCTTCCTACATCTTCTCAACTGCCTCCCCGTCTCCCCCCTCAGAGGATTATAAGACTTTCAGAAGAGTGGCTTTTAGCTGGTAAGAAATTGTGTAGCATCTGCAATAAGAAATTATCGTAGTCCAGCTAGTTATTTGATTCCTTCTAGACCAGTGGCTGTCATCTCAGAATCTGAGGGCCAGCTCCAGCCTGCTGCCTGCTTCTGTAAATAAGGTTTTATTGCAACTCAGCCACACTCATTCATTTTCCCCATTGTCTCTGCCACTTTTGTGCTATAACAGCAGAGCTGAGTAGTTGTGACAAATAGTGTATGGCCCACAGAGCTGGAAGCAATTACTCTCTGGCTTTTTACCGAAAAGGTTTTGCTGATCCCTGTACTAGATGATTTTCCCTTCCTGAGTTGGTCCTGCATTGTCAGGAGTAGAAGACATGGTGCCTACCTCCTTTTTGTTCCTTATGGCCATTTCCTATTGAATACATGATAGGAGAGAAGATTGTGCAGAGCAAAGATGTGGAAGGGATTCTGAATGCAGTTGCTAATTAGCACATGATTCTTTAAGCATCTCACCCTGTCCAGTCATTTACATAACAGCTAACGTGTGTTCGGTATTTCCCCTGGTGCAGACACGGTTATAAGCACTGAAACTGTGTAACTTACTTAATCCTTACAGTAACCCGACCAGGTACCATAATCTTATAACATCACCCTTCTACAGATAAAGCACTAAGGCAGAGAAAAGATAAGTGACTTATCCAAGGTAGAGAGCTAATAAGGGAGGGAACCAGGATACAATCACCTGCAGTGGTCAGAGTGTAGGTCCTGTCCTCTTAAGCATTACATTGTACCGCCTTCCTGCACTATGTATTATCTTATCAAAACCTTATCAGTATTCTAAAGCAAAGGCTTTATTATCTGTCCCCATTCTACAGATGAGGACAGAAATGCAGTAATGTAATTACCTAAAGTCATATAGCTGGTAAGTGGCAGACGCAAGATTAAAACCCAGAACTCTCAGTTTGGGATTGACACGTACCCACTGCTCTATTTAAAACGGATAACCAACAAGGATCTACTGTATAGCACAGGGAACTCTGCTCAATATTATATAACAGCCTAAATAGGAAAAGTATTTGAAAAAGGATAGATACATGAATATGTATAACTGAACCACCTTGCTGTACACCTGAAACTCTCACAACATTGTTAATCAACTATACTCCAATATAAAATAAAAAGTTAAAAAAAAAACAGAATTCTCAAAGGCAATATTTATAATCACTGCACCAGTGTTTCTCAGCCTTGGTACCACTGATGCTTTGGACTGGATAATTTCTTGTGGAATGTAGTCTTGTGCATCATAGGGTGCTTTTAGCAGCATCCCTCTATCCACTAGATGCCAGTAACACCCTCCCCCTACTCATGATAATGAAAACCCCTCCAGACATTGTCAAATATCCCCTGAGCGGTAAAATCAGCCCCCTTTGAGCACCACAGCTCTCTGCTTTACCCCAGGGCACTGCTACAGGGCATAATTACCTCCATATTCCTACGTTTATTTGTGGACCCCTTGTAATCATGACTGGTAGTTGAATGCTTCCCTCTTTTTGTTTTGAAGGACAATTTATTCTGCTATTGGTATTGACCTGGCATCTCACGGGTTTATAGTTGCTGCCATAGAACACAGGTACGTCACCTGGTATGTGGCTGAGCTCTACCTTTCATACAGGTTTATGAAAAGTGCTGATAGAATTGTCAACTATGGTTACATGATGAACAAAAAAGGAGACTGAGTTAGATTGTCAAGTATATAAAAAGATAGCTAACATTTCTAGAATGTTTATTAAGTGCCGTGTTCACAGACCATCTCATTTAATCTTCATAACAATGCTTTAAGACGGTTATCATAACCACTGTTTCAAGGAGGCAGAGAATGAAGCTGAGGAAGGGTAAGTAATTTGCCCCAAACCACACAGCTAGCAAGTGACAGCACTGGGATTTGATTCCAGGAGAGAGTTTTCAACACCGCAGCCTCCCAGAATTGTGAAGATGGAATGGGTTGTTTATAGGCAACCATGTCTTTTTTCTTAGAACTCCCTTGGGGGCTTCTTTGATTTTAAAAAAAGGTAGAGTGCAAGAAAGGGAGTCAAAAAGAGTCACGGCTGGGGATGAGGAACACAGGTGAGATGAAGGAGAGAAAGAGCAAGCGTAAGTAATTGATTCTGTTTGTATTGTAGAGATGGCTCTGCATCTGCGACTTACTATTTCAAGGACCAGTCTGCTGCAGAAATAGGAAACCAGACTTGGCTTTATCTTAGAACCCTAAAACGAGGGGAGGAGTTTCCTCTACGAAACGAGCAGGTATGTTGCAAGAAGAAGAGAGGTGGCATGGTGACCAAAAAGCATAGGCAAAACGATGACATTTGTTTGTTTAATTTTACATATGGCAGACCGTGCTCCTAGATCTCCTTACTTCCCATCCCCAAAAGATCTGTCAGAGGATTCTCTGAGTAATCAAATTCCCTTAATGAAATATCTGGATCATAGTAAAAACAAAGACCAACATAAAAATCCTAGGAGATGACAGTGAATATTCAGAATCCCTTTGCATTAGAAGTAAAGACTACTTTTCACAGAGGTGGTATAGAACAGCATTAAGAGTCCAGGCCTTAGAATGCAACTTTCTATGTTTGAATCCTGGCACCATCACTTCGCAGTGATCTTGGACAAGTTACTTATTCTTTTTGCTTTGCTTCCATGTTTTATCTGTTACGAAATAATGAATATTAACAGTATCTTTCACATGGGGCTTTGAGGAAGATCAAGTGACATAAAGCACATTGCTTTCCACCTCAGTGCCAGGCTTTATAGTGGGTGCTTTTTATATATGTTATTGCATTTAATCCCACCCACATTTCACTGAGGCATTATTATACAATAACTGGAAGTTCAGAGAGGTTAAGTAAATCATCTTAGGTCACACAGTGGGTAAGCAACAGAGTCAGGATTTGGACCAAGCAATAACTACCTGTAAAGCTGGTGCCTGGGTCATCATGCTAGGTTGTGTTCTAATCGCTAATCTCAAAGTCATTTCCGGTTTATAAGCAACCACGTATTTTTTCCACCTGCCCCCTCTGCACAAGCTTTAAGCGTTACAGCTTTTCACTTTGCCATTTCCTTCTTCTAATCATCATACTAGGTACTGCAACGAGCAAAGGAGTGTTCTCAAGCTCTCGATTTGATTCTGGACATTGATCGCGGGAGACCAGAGAAGAATGTATTAGATTTAGAGTTTGATGTGGAACAGATGAAGGTGAGTTTAAAAAAAAAAAGCCATTTTCCCCTGGCCTAGACTTCTTTATTGCTCACATTTTTGTCTGTCTTACTGCTGTAATACAAGAAACAATATGATAAAGGGCTGCAAAAAAAAGTACCTGTGCAATATTCCAACAGTGAGGAACACATCAGGCTGAACTACATACGAAGTTGCCACCAGCCAGCCTTGATCTACAAAAGTGGCAAATTTCATATGCTTCAACTTAATACAACCAGTGGAAGTATTGTAATTTCTTGGGCAGTTCCTGCATGTTTTTGAGCTTGATCTTGAAACGCTGGTGAAAAGTTTTAGACAGAATATTGGGGTGGGGTGGAAGGATATCAGAGTGGACCGCTTGAATGAAGACTCAAACGTGTGTGTAGCGGGGTGGAGTGTAGGAAAGGACAGGGCACTAAGATGATGGTATGTCCTCCAGACACAGTGAAGCGTTTGTGTCTCTCGGCTAGCCACTCTCCTGTCTCCATACCTTTGGACGTGTTGTCCCCTTGGTCTGACACCCCGTCTTCCTGACTCAGTCCTGCTTAATCGTCAACTCAAGTCGGGTATTACCTCGGCCATGAAGCTTTCTTGGGCCTCACTGCCCACCCTGGACTGGGCTAGCTGTCTATCATATGTGCTCCATGGTACGACCCTACTGCATCTGCATCGTGTATCTGTAGCTCCTTCCCTAATAGACTGGGAGCTCATGGAAAATGAACTATAATCCCTGGCACAGAGCAGGTGCTCAATCAATACTCAGGGAATGAAAAAACTAATAAACATGGAGGGGGAATGGGGAGAACTCAGCAATGATGTTGATGTTTGAAGTGTGGGTGAAGAGGAAGGCCATGAAGTTTACCTCTGAACTCTTAGAAATGTTCAACAACTATGTGCGTGTCTTTGTGTATATATAGGTAAGCATGTATGTATATGTACATATATGTGTATATGTTTAAATATGTGTATGTGGGTGTGGGGGTGCTCATGAATGTATGTATGTGTATATATATTTCTTTTCTAAGAAACCAAGGTACTTAACCATGCCTGTGAAAAAATAAGTTTATAATTCACAAAATCACTGCCTATCCTCCGAACAACCTGCAAGATACTGATGAATTTACATCATGCTTTTTCACATAGGACTCTATCGATAGGGATAAAATAGCGGTTATTGGACATTCTTTTGGTGGAGCCACAGTTATTCAGAGTCTTAGTGAAGACCAGAGATTCAGGTAAGAGAATGAGTCTTAGTTTTTGGAAGCGGGGGGAGTGATAACACATGTGAGATAGAATTTATCAAATTCTTAGTGAGGAAGAGATCCTTTGGAATTCACAAGTTTGTTCTTTTGCCTCCATAAAGTCCTCCATATGAATTTTCCTAAAACAGAAACCATCTACTTCTCTTGCTACTGAAAACTCTTCGCATCTCTCAATATTTTTCCTCATTATTCTTCATCTGCTCAAGGGCTTATTATTTTCATTTGGAAGTTTAGCTTTATGTATACGTATTATCTGTGACATAATCATTGTAATAAAAATATTGTCATCTTATACTATTTTCTAGACTTCCCCAATAGGTAGGGCATTTTTTAATTATTCTTTTTCATCCTTAAGATGAAGTGTGGGCTAAAATTACATAGTTATGTGGGTGGAAGTCAGGCCCCCAGTCTTCTAACTTGAAGAAATATTTTCTTTCTTGAACCATTTTATCCCAGATTGATGAGATCATGTAGAACCAACCATGTAGAAAGAGGGTAGGATCATTTGTGAAACTTCATCTCACATTTCTTAAAATCTGTTTCAACGTAAGGGGATTCTCTTCTTTCCTCCATTTAGCACATAAAATAGAGTGTCCAAAAGGCTAAGAAACATAGGATAACTTACTTTTAAAAAGAAAATGAATTACATTTCATTTTCAAATGATATACTCCATAGGCTTTTCTTCAACACCCAGACACTCATCCAGGTGAAGCATCTCTAAGTATAAAGGAATGGGTCTAACTGTTACTCTGAAAGAAGTATAATGAGCACACAACAGCGTCCAGAAGGACTAGAAACACAGGGGCAATAGTGCATGTACTGTATTTTTTCAGATACCCCCCAATTTTGAAGAATTATAGTACTTATAATATTTTAAAACTTATCTTGAAAGATAACAAAAAATGAGTAAAAAATTTTTAAATATTGTGTCTTTCTAAAGGTTGCAATTCTTAAATGCCTCCTAAAGAAAATGATTGTATAATTACAAGTTTGCTACCTTATAAAGCTAATCATATCCCTTTCCCATAGTGAAGTATAATACCTCTTCAGCTCAGTGAGATAACCCATAATGATCTGGTGTGCTGTGTGTCTCTGAATCCTTGCAGTATTAGAAATTCCTGTATCTGGGCCAGTGTGTAACCAGACTTCTTTGATCAGGTGCGGTGTCGCCCTGGATGCATGGATGTTTCCAGTGGGTGATGAAGTATATTCCAGAATTCCTCAGCCCCTCTTTTTTATCAACTCGGAACGATTCCAATACCCTTCTAATATTATAAAAATGAAAAAATGCTACTTACCTGATAGAGAAAGAAAAATGATTACAATCAGGTAAGTATCAGTAAGTGACTTACTACATCATCTGAAACAGAAACTTGAAACTTGGATAAACAAGTAACAGATATCATTTGGTTGCTACTCTAGAATTATTCAATTTGTTGTTTAGACTTGGAATAAGGGAGAATATTAGATAATCTCAGTTTCCAAGTGCCTTTAGACTTACTCTTTTTAAAATGCAAATTTTTGAGTAGTGTTAATATACTATTAGTGTTAAATACTATTAACTATGTTAATATACTGTACAGCACGTGCTGGTGAATAAAATTTGCATGATACATGCTACCTTTATCTAAACGTAAGAGCAAGCCTATACATTTTTAGGGCTGGGATAGGGGGAAGTATTCCATCAGTAAGCTAGGCTAAGAACTCTTTAGAAAAAAAGTAAGATCATCTGTTGAGAACTGCAGTGTGTTTATCTGTTTGGTAAGTAGATGAATTTATAAATTCTCAAAAGCTATAATAGAGTCCCTTGAAGGGTCAGCAACATGCTTATATCGTGGATGTGAAAAAGAACTCCCAATAGCGTTTTGAACTCACGATGAGATGCTACAAAGCAAAGACTGAGCTCCTTCCTCTCCTATCTGAAACCTGATTTACTTAGAAGGGCACAGAAGAGGTGGCAAGAAGGAAACACACACAGTAAAGGCAGTAAACACTCCCAGGACAGAAAATGGAGGACTCTTCCAATTAAGGTGGTCAGAAAAGGCTGCTTAGAAGAAATTGGGGTAGAATTGGGTCTTGAAGGATCAAGAGACATTATTATTATTATTATTAAGATTTAATTTAATTTTTATTTTTTTTGGTTGTGCTGGGTCTTTGTTGCTGCGCGCGGGCTTTCTCTAGTTGTGGTGAGCGGGGGCTACTCTTCGTTGCGGTGCGTGCACGGGCTTCTCATTGTGGTGGCTTCTCTTGTTGTGGAGCACAGGCTCTAGGCACGCGGGCTCAGTAGTTGTGCCTCGCGGGCCCTAGAGCGCAGGCTCAGTAGTTGTGGCGCACGGGCTTAGTTGCTCCACAACATGTGGGATCTTCCTGGACCAGGGATTGAACCCGTGTCCCCTGCATTGGCAGGCGGATTCTTATCCACTGCGCCACCAGGGAAGTCCCTCAAGAGACTTTAGATAGATGGTGAGGAAGGATCTAGATATTTAAGGTAAGATGTCAACTTAGCTTATTGGTATGTGCAAGTCTATTTAATTCTAAAGCAGAAATATTACAGAACACCCAACCTTCCTTATTGGCTATCACTCTCTCTGTTTCTTCCCTTCTCTGCTAGAAAGAAGAGCTTGTACTTAATATTCCCTGTCCTTACATACATTTACTCTGACTTCTGCAGTCTGTCTTCCTGAACTGCCACCAGTGAGCTGAAAATGGCCCCACTGAGGACATAGAAGTTTCAGTCGCCTATTGGCAGCCTCAGCCTTTCTCTCTGCATCCCTCCCACCTGTTGACTACCCCCATTTCTCCTCCCTTGGGTACACTAACCCCACTCTCTCCTGCTTCTCGCATCCTGTAGATGGCTTCCTCCCTTTCTCGCCCACCATCTCCTCCTCTTCAGGCCATCTCTCCACTGTTGGTGGCATCCGGGGTTCTGCTCTCAGCTGTGCTGCGACCCTGCCTCTATTTACCTTCTTTATACTTCTGACTCTCAAGTTTGGATTGGGATGTGGGGAAGAGTGAGCAGTGTCTGGGCCTCGGTTTTGTGTAGAGATACCTAAAAGAATGGTGGTTTGCTTATAAGCAGCAAAGTGAAGAGGAAAAGTGGCATTGGGTGGGGCTGGAAAGGTGTGGTTTAGCCTTGGGTAAAGATGTCTGGCCACAAATTAGCAAAGTATATAATTTGTATATTATTAATGAAATCTATGGAGGAGATGAGACCACAAAGTGCGAAAAGAACTGGTCTAATAGGATCTTGAGGATTTAGGGGAAGAGCCAGTGAAGAACAGAGTAGTTCGGGAAAGGAGGGAAAATGTGATGTCAAGGGAAAAAACAAATGCAAGAAAATCAAGTGTCACATGTCTCAGAGGTAGTAGAAAATGTGCAGTAAAAAATGGCCATTTTGGGGAGAAGCTTCAAGACGGTGGAGGAGTAAGACGCGGAGATCACCTTCCTCCCCACAGATACATCAGAAATACATCTACACGTGGAACAACTCCTACAGAACATCTACTGAATTCTGGCAGAAGATCTCAGACCTCCCAAAAGGCAAGAAACTCTGCACGTACCTGGGTAGGGCAAAAGAAAAAAGAATAAACAGAGACAAAAGGATAGGGACGGGACCGGCACCAGTGGGAGGGAGCTGTGAAGGAGGAAAGGTTTCCACACACTAGAAGCCCCGGAGACGGGGGTTGGAGGGGTTGGAGGGGGGGAAGCTTCGGAGCCGCGGAGGAGAGCACAGCAACAGGGGTGCGGGGGGCAAAGCGGAGAGATTCCCGCACAGAGGATCAGGGCCGACCGGCACTCACCAGCCTGAGACGCTTGTCTGCTCCCCCGCCGGGGCGGGCGGGGGCTGGGAGCTGAGGCTTGGGCTTCAGAGGCCAGATCCCAGGGAGAGGACTGGGGTTGGCGGCGTGAACACAGCCTGAAGGGGTTAGTGTGCCACAGCTAGCGGGGAGGGAGTCCGGGGAAAAGTCTGGAGCTGCTGAAGAGGCAAGAGACCATTGTTTCCGGGTGCCGGAGGAGAGAGGATTCAGAGCGCCACCTAAACGAGCCCCAGAGACGGGCGCGAGCCACGGCTAAAATCGCGGACCCCAGAGATGGGCATGAGACCCAAGGCTGCTGCTGCTGCCACCAAGAAGCCTGTGTGCGAGCACAGGTCACTATCCACAGCCCCCTTCCAGGGAGCCTGTGCAGCCCGCCACTGCCAGGGTCCCGGGACCCAGGGACAACTTCCCCGGGAGGACGCACGGCGCGCCTCAGGCTCGTGCAACGTCACGCCGGCCTCTGCCGCCGCAGGCTTGCCCCGCCCTCCGTGCCCCTCCCTCCACCCCGGCCTGAGTGAGCCAGACCCACGAATCAGCGGCTCCTTTAACCCCGTCCTATCTGAGCAAAGAACAGACGCCCTCCGGCAACCTACATGCAGAGGCGGGGCCAAATCCAAAGCTGAACCCCGGGAGCTGTGTGAACAAAGAAGAGAAAGGGAAATCTCTCCCAGCAGCCTCAGAAGCAGCGGATTAAATCTCCACAATCAATTTGATGTACCCTGCATCTGTGGAATACCTGAATAGACAATGAATCATCCCAAATTGAGGAGGTGGACTTTGGGAGCAATGATATATATATATTTTTTCCCTTTTTCTTTTTTGTGAGTGTGTATGTGTATGCTTCTGTGTGTGATTTTTGTCTGTATAGTTTGCTTTTACCATTTGTCCTAGGGTTCTGTCTGTCCGGTTTTTTCTGTTTTGTTTTGTTTTGTTTAGCATAATTTTTAGCACTTGTTATCATTGGTGGATTTGTTTTTTGGTTTGGTTGCTCTTTCTTTCTTTTTTTTATTACTTAAAAATACTTTTTTAATAACTATTTTTTATTTTAATAACTTTATTTTATTTTATCTTCTTCTTTTTTTTTCCTCACTTTTATTCTGAGCCGTGTGGATGACAGGCTCTTGGTGCTCCAGCCAGGGGTCAGGGCTGTGCCTCTGAGGTGGGAGAGCCAACTTCAGGACACTGGTCCACAAGAGACCTCCCAGCTCCACATAATATCAAACGGTGAAAATCTCCCAGAGATCTCCATCTCAACACCAGCACCCAGCTCCACTCAATGACCAGCAAGCTACAGTGCTGGACACCCTATGCCAAACAACTAACAAGGCAGGAACACAACCCCACCCATTAGCAGAGAGGCTGCCTAAAATCATAATAAGGCCACAGACACCCCAAAACACACCACCGGACGTGGACCTGCCCACCAGAAAGACAAGATCCAGCCTCATCCACCAGAAAACAGGCACTAGTCACCTCCACCAGGAAGCCTACACAACCCACTGAACCAACCTTAGCCACTGGGGGCAGACACCAAAAACAACGGGAACTACGAACCTGCAGCCTGTGAAAAGAAGACCCCAAACACAGTAAGTTAAACAAAATAAGAAGACAGAGAAACACACAGCAGATGAAGGAGCAAGGTAAAAACCCACCAGACCTAACAAATGAAGAGGAAATAGGCAGTCTACCTGAAAAAGAATTCAGAATAATGAAAGTAAAGATGATCCAAAATCTTGGAAATAGAATGGAGAAAATACAAGAAACGTTTAACAAGGACCTAGAAGAACTAAAGAGCAAACAAACAGTGATGGACAACACAATAAATGAAATTAAAAATTCTCTAGAAGTGATCAACAGCAGAATAACTGAGGCAGAAAAACGGATAAGTGATGTGGAAGATGAAATACTGGAAATAACTACTGCAGAGCAGAATAAAGAAAATAAAATGAAAAGAATTGAGGACAGTCTCAGAGACCTCTGGGACAACATTAAACACACCAACCTTCGAATTATAGGGGTCCCAGGAGAAGAAGAGAAAAAGAAAGGGACTGAGAAAATATTTGAAGAGATTATAGTTAAAACTTCCCTATTATGGGAAAGGAAATAGTTAATCAAGTCCAGGAAGCACAGAGAGTCCCATAAAGGATAAATCCAAGGAGAAACACACCAAGACACATATTAATCAAACTATCAAAAATTAAATACAAAGAAAAAATATTAAAAAGCAGCAAGGGAAAAACAACAAATAACATACAAGGGAATCCCCATAAGGTTAACAGCTGATCTTTCAGCAGAAACCCTCCAAGCCAGAAGGGAGTGGCAGGACATATTTAAAGTGATGAAGGGGAAAAACCTATAACCAAGATTACTCAACCCAGCAAGGATCTCATTCAGATCTGACGGAGAAATTAAATCCTTTACAGACAAGCAAAAGCTAAGAGAATTTAGCACCACCAAACGAGCTTTACAACAACTGCTACAGGAACTTCTCTAGGCAGGAAACACAAGAGTAGGAATGGTAACAGAAACATAAGTATCAATAATTACTCTAAATGTAAATGGATTAAATGCTCCAACCAAAAGACACAAGCTTACTGAATGGATACAAAAACAAGACCCACATATATGCTGTCTATAAGAGACCCACTTCAGACCTAGGGAGACATACAGACTGAAAGTGAGGGGATGGAAAAAGATATTCCATGCAAATGGAAATCAAAAGAAAGCTGGAGTAGCAATTCTCGCATCAGAAAAAATAGACTTTAAAACAAAGACTATTACAAAAGACAAAGAAGGACACTACATAATGATCAAGGGATCAATCCAAGAAGAAGATATAACAATTGTAAATATTTATGCACCCAACATAGGCGCACCTCAATACATAAGGCAAATACTAAGAGCCAAAAAAGGGGAAATGGACAGTAACATAATCATAGTAGGGGACTTTAACACCCCACTTTCACCAATGGACACATCATCCAAAATGAAAATAAATAAGGAAACGCAAGCTTTAAATGACACATTAAACGAGATGGACTTAATTGATATTTATGGGAAATTCCATCCAAAAACAACAGAATACACTTTCTTCTCAAGTGCTCATGGAACATTCTCCAGGATAGATCATATCTTGGGTCACAAATCAAGCCTTGGTAAATGTAAGAAAATTTAAATTGTATCAATATCTTTTCCGACAACAACACTATGAGACTAGATATCAATTACAGGAAAAAATCTGTAAAAATTACAAACACATGGAGGCTAAACAATACACTACTTAATAACCAAGAGATCACTGAAGAAATCAAAGAGGAAATTAAAAAAATACCTAGAAACAAATGACAGTGAAAACACGATGACCCAAAACCTATGGGATGCAGCAAAAGCAGTTCTAAGAGGGAAGTTTATAGCAATACAATCCTACCTTAAGAAACAAGAAACATCTCAAATAAACAACCTAACATTACACCTAAAGCAATTAGAGAAAGAACGAAAAAAACCCCAAAGTTAGCAGAAGGAAAGAAATCATAAAGATCAGATCAGAAATAAATGAAAAAGAAACGAAGGAAACTATAGCAAAGATCAATAAAACTAAAAGCTACTTCTTTGAGAAGATAAACAAACTTGATAAACCATTAGCCAGACTCATCAAGAAAAAGAGGGAGAAGACTCAAATCAATAGAATTAGAAATGAAAAAGGAGAAGTAACAACTGACACTGCAGAAACACAAAGGATCATGAGAGATTACTACAAGCAACTATATGCCAATAAAATGACAACCTGGAAGAATTGGAGAAATTCTTAGAAATGCAAAACCTTCCAAGACTGAACCAGGAAGAAATAGAAAATATGAACAGACCAATCACAAGCACTGAAACTGAAACTGTGATTAAAAATCTTCCAACAAACAAAAGCCCAGGACCAGATGGCTTCACAGGCGAATTCTATCAAACATTTAGAGAAGAGCGAACACCAATCTTTCTCAAACTCTTCCAAAATATAGAGAGGGAGGAACACTCCCAAACTCATTCTACGAGGCCACCATCACCCTGATACCAAAACCAGACAAAGATGTCACAAAGAAAGAAAACTACAGGCCAATATCACTGATGAACATAGATGCAAAAATCCTCAACAAAATACTGGCAAATAGAATCCAACAGCACATTAAAAGGATCATACACCATGATCAAGTGGGGTTTATCCCAGGAATGCAAGGATTCTTCAATATATGCAAATCAATCAATGTGATACAGCATATTAACAAATTGAGGGAGAAAAACCATATGATCATCTCAATAGATGCAGAGAAAGCTTTCGACAAAATTCAACACTGATTTATGATAAAAATCCTCCAGAAAGTAGGCATAGAGGGAACTTACCTCAACATAATAAAGGCCATATATGACAAACCCACAGCCAACATCGTCCTCAATGGTGAAAAACTAAAACCAATCCCACTAAGATCAGGAACAAGAAAAGGTCGCCCACTCTCACCACTAGTATTCAACATAGTTTTGGAAGTTTTAGCCACAGCAATCAGAGAAGAAAAACAAATAAAAGGAATCCAAATCAGAAAAGAAGAAGTAAAGCTGTCACTGTTTGCAGATGACATGCTGCTATACATAGAGAATCCTAAAGATGCTACCAGAAAACTACTAGAGCTAATCAATGAATTGGGTAAAGTAGCAGGATACCAAATTCATGCACAGAAATCTCTTGCATTCCTATACACTAATGATGAAAAATCTGAAAGTGAAATTAAGAAAACACTCCCATTTACCATTGCAACAAAAAGAATAAAATATCTAGGAATAAACCTACCTAAGGAGACAAAAGACCAGTATGCAGAAAATTATAAGACACTGATGAAAGAAATTAAAGATGATACAAATAGGTGGAGAGATATACCATGTTCTTGGATCGGAAGAATCAACACTATGAAAATGACTATACTACCCAAAGCAATCTACAGATTCAATGCAATCGCTATCAAACTACCACTGGCATTTTTCACAGAACTAGAACAAAAAATCTCACAATGTGTATGGAAACACAAAAGACCCCAAATAGCCAAAGCAATCTTGAGAAAGAAAAACAGAGCTGGAGGAATCAGGCTTCGTGACTTCAGACTATATTACAAATCTACAGTAATCAAGACAGTATGGTACTGGCACACAAACAGAAATATAGATCAACGGAACAGGACAGAAAGCCCAGAGATAAACCCAAACACATATGGTCACCTTATCTTTGATAAAGCAGGCAAGAATATACAGTGGAGAAAAGATTGCCTCTTCAATAAGTGGTGCTGGGAAAACTGGACAGCTACATGTAAAAGAATGAAATTAGAACACTCCCTAACACCATACACAAAAATAAACTCAAAATGGATTAAAGACCTAAATGTAAAGCCACACAGTATTAAACTCTGAGAGGAAAACATAGGCAGAACATTCCATGACATAAATCACAGCAAGATCCTTTATGACCCACCTCCTAGAGAAATGGAAATAAAAACAAAAATAAACAAATGGGACCTAATGAAACTTAAAAGCTTTTGCACAGCAAAGGGAACCATAAACCAGAGGAAAAGACAACCCTCAGAATGGGAGAAAATATTTGCAAATGAAGCAACTGACAAAGGATTAATCTCCAAAATTTACAAGCAGCTCATGCAGCTCAGTATCAAAAAATCAAACAACTCAATTCAAAAATGGGCAGAAGACCTAAATAGACATTTCTCCAAAGAAGATATACAGATTGCCAACAAACACAGGAAAGAATGTTCAACATCATTAGTCATTAGAGAAATGCAAATCAAAACTACAATGAGATATCATCTCACACCTGTCAGAATGGCCATCATCAAAAAATCTACAAACAATAAATGCTGGAGAGGGTGTGGAGAAAAGGGAACCCTCTTGCACCGTTGGTGGGAATGTAAATTGATACAGCCACTATGGAGAACAGTATGGATGTTCCTTAAAAAACTACAAATAGAACTACCATACAACCCAGCAATCCCACTACTGGGCATATACCCTGAGAAAACCATAATTCAAAAAGAGTCATGTACCACAATGTCCATTGCAGCTCTGTTTACAATAGCCAGGACATGGAAGCCACCTAAGTGCCCATCAACAAATGAATGGATAAAGAAGATGTGGCACATATATATATACAATGGAATATTACTCAGCCTTAAAAAGAAACGAAATTGAGTTATTTGTAGTGAGGTGGATGGACCTAAAGTATGTCATACAGAGTGAAGTAAGTCAGAAAGAGAAAAACCAATACTGTATGCTAACACATATATATGGAATCTAAGAAAAACAAAAAGGTCATGAAGAACCTAGGGGCAAGACGGGAATTAAATATGCAGACCTACTAGAGAATGGACTTGAGGATATGGGGAGGTGGAAGGGTAAGCTGGGACGAAGTGAGAGAGAGGCATGGACATATATACACTACCAAATGTAAAATAGATAGCTAGTGGGAAGCAGCCGCATAGCACAGGGAGATCAGCTCGGTGCTTTGTGACCACCTGGAGGGGTGGGATAGGGAGGGTGGGAGATGCAAGAGGGAAGAGATATGGGAACATATGTATATGTATAACTGATTCACTTTGTTATAAAGCAGAAACTACCACACCATTGTAAAGCAATTATACTCCAATAAAGATGTTAAAAAAAAATGGCCATTCTATTTGATGTTAGGCTGTTGGTGAATTTCAAGTCCATCAATAAGGGATATTTATGAGGTGCTTACAGTTTAAATAATACAAGGCAAAATTTTGTTTGTCTATCTTTTAACCTACTTAATCCAAGGCTTAAATGCAAAGTGTTTTTGCCCAACAGCAAATAGATATCCAGTTAAGTGTGGTGGTAAGGGGGCAGGATTCTGGCTCTGAGTTCAGGGACCCTCAACATATAAAGCATTCCACCTACTCAAATTGAAAGTAATCATGTCCTCTACAAAGCTGGAATCATCTCTTCTAAAACCAAGATGCCAAGCAAGACAGCAATCTTTGCCTTATTGATCTAGACGGGAGGAAGAATATATACTCTAGCACCCCTAAATGAACATCTTTGTGACCCTCAAGTACATCTAAGGAGATCAAATCTACAAATTTTGTTTCCTTGGTTTTCGTAAATAGGCCAACCAGACCAGCATCTTCCCTGCACGGTAACTACAGAAATAATTTTGTCCAACAAAGTGATTTGTAAATGTCTCCTTTCTCTTTCAGGGGTTCAGTCCATCAGAATTTTGTTGACTTCACGTTTGCAACTGGCAAAATAATTGGCTACATATTCACACTGAAAGGAGAAATAGATTCAAACGTAGCCATGAGTCTTAGCAACAAAGCTTCGTTAGCATTCTTGCAAAAGCATTTAGGTAAGAAAGGGATCTTCTTTCCTGACATAAACCAGATGATTCTCAGGAAAAAACTGTTTATCTTAACTGTGCATGAGTCCCATTTTGACTGTTCCCAGTTGGTTTACAATGGAACACTGCAGTCAGTCCATTTGAAAACAATTTAATTTTGCTGCTTTGCATACTATGCGTCATAGGCAGCAAGCCTACCTGTTAGAGCTAATAGTCTTTCTGTGAAGGCTGGGGCGGATTTCCATGCAGAGGATTCGGGCAGCATAGTGCCTCAATTCCATCTCTCGTTCTGATGTTGCAGCCACACAGAGCTCACACAGAGCACCTTGCCTCCATAATGGTGACGCAATGTGGGTCGTTTGTGAGGCTAGGGTGCCACCTAGAGGCACTGAACTGTTTAACACTTTCCAAAGTTGAATATGTTTAGTGACATTTGTATTTTACAGGACTTCAGAAAGATTTTGATCAGTGGGATTCTTTAATTGAAGGGGAAGATGACAATCTTATTCCAGGAACCAACATTGACACAACCAACCACCATGCCACCCTGCAGAACTCTACAGGAATAGAGAAGCCGAATTCAGATTAAAAGAGCTTTTTAAAAAGTCTTGTTTAAAAACTGTCTGTGTGTGTGTGTATGATTTTAATGTATTTTCTCAAATAACTCATATTTGAAAATGTAGGCTGTACCACAATAGTGATTGAAGCTTGGATTAAGATTTTTTTTCCTTTAAATGTAAAGAAAGACTGCTACATATAAAAATCATACCAGCCTAAATTTTAGTTTTACTAAAGTGATCCTTTCTCGGTGTCACAATAAAAAACTGATTTTACATTACTTTAATGGACAAGTATATTAAAACAGGCATCATGCCATTGAAAATGTGTTACAATGACCTAACACTCCCTAAAAACATAATAAAAACAGATTTTCTTGCCTCTTTTTTTTTCTATTATAAGCAGTAGAATTGAGTTTTAGCAACATGGTCTTCTGCGTGGGATTTGGTAGCGCTTCCCTTTGACCTTGGGTCATGGTAAGAGAAATCAGGCCAAGCGGATAATAAAGCCATTGCTTTACTGTGGGATGGGTGCGACTGCACAATTTCAACATAATGACTAAACGGGGAATGGATGGGGGTAAGAATATTGGTGACAAGGCAAAGGCAGCAGATTAAAGCAAGTTGGTGATTTGTTTGCATTCACTTTAATGGTTTACCTCTGAGGCACTCTATTTACTAAAGAAAGGTGCATAAGACAGGCCCACGATTCCAGCCATCACACATTAAATCACTGATTCACCCGAAGGCTGCGACAGATAAGAAAGGACATCATTTTAACTGCTTCATTTTCCACTAGTTTTATTGATATTTAATGAATTTTTAAATTTTATATGTAGTAGTGGGAGGGGAAAAGCACAATAAATGGAGGTAAAAAGATAGCTGAGGGCTTCCCTGGTGGCGCAGTGGTTGAGAGTCTGCCTGCCGATGCAGGGGACACGGGTTCGTGCCCAGGTCCGGGAAGATCCCACATGCTGCGGAGCGGCTGGGCCCATGAGCCATGGCCGCTGAGCCTGCGTGTCCGGAGCCTGTGCTCCGCAACGGGAGAGGCCACAACAGTGAGAGGCCCGCGTACCGCAAAAAAAAAAAAAAAAAAAAAAAGATAGCTAAAAGATTTGTGCACTCATGTTTCTGGGAGTCATGGAAAATGTGTTTTGTTTCCCAAGGGGTATAAACATTTCTGCCACTCATCAGTTAAGTATATTTTGGTCTAAGAATGGTCTTGTTCCTATGAATTCTCCATAATTAAGTTTAATTAAAGCCTGTGTGAACAAGGATAATCAGTACTTAGTAAGCAAGCCTGGTTAACTACTCTATCACCATTCCTTTTGCCCAGTTAATAAGTAACTGTGTTTTCTGATTTGGCACTCAGGCCCATCTTAATGTTTTAATGTGCAAAAACACTCATTTTGAGAAATATGATTTCTCCTCTAACTGTTCAGATTAAACATTTTTAAAGAGAGTTAAACTGCTTAGCATGAAACTGATGGCTTTCCGTAATCCGACCCTAATGCATCTTCTCTGACCCTTTCTCCCAGTAATTAACTCACAACTATATCTCCTACATGAATGAGCCAAATGTGTCTAATCATTATCCCAGGAACAAGGAATATACTCATCTACCTCAATTACGTTTAATGCAGAACACTCTTCTTTTTACTTATTGAAATTATACCCAACTTTTAAGGTTCTTAATTCTCACTATTCCCATCAGGCTTCAGGGTCTCATAATGTTTCATATACATACATCTTTTCCCCCATTCACATGTAGCAAACCTCCTTACTCATTTTAGAAATGGATAACCATTCCAATTGTACTGACGTCCCATTCAATAGCACCTCTTTAAAATCCTTTGTTGGCGGCACATGCTGATGCTGAAAGGAGAAAATAACTGCTGAAAGGATCCAGTGAGTTAAAGTTTAAAAAATACAACCTACCGGGCTTCCCTGGTGGCGCAGTGGTTGAGAGTCCGCCTGCCGATGTAGGGGACACGGGTTCGTGCCCCGGTCCAGGAAGATCCCACATGCCGCGGAGCGGCTGGGCCCGTGAGCCATGGCCACTGAGCCTGCGCGTCCGGAGCCTGTGCTCCGCAACGGGAGAGGCCACAACAGTGAGAGACCCACGTACCGCAAAATAAAAAAAATAGAAAATAAAAATACAACCTACCATAGTGCATACTGAGTATCTTTTGGGGGAAAGAAGGAAATATTTATCAAATGCCTACTCCTTTTCTGGCACTTTACATAAATTATTTCTAATCTTAAAACCACTGCAAGAAAGGTTTTATTAACCCCATTTTACAGATGAGGAAGGTCAAGACTCAACAATGTTATAATAACCTACCCAGGTCACATATCTAGTAATCAGCATATAGCTAAGATCTGTTTCCTAAAGCTAGGACCTATACTTTGCATACTACCACTTATGCAAAACCATGTTTCAAAAGCATGGGCTTTGAAGTTAGATGGGTCTAGGTATGATCAAGCCTCCAAGATTTGCTAGCTCTTTGACATTAGGCAAATTACTTATCTTCTCTAAAAAGCTTCAATTGTCTCACCTATAAAATGTGGATAACATTAATATGCACCTCAGAATCAAGGATTAAATGAGAAAATGCATTTAAAGTACCAACTGAGTGATTAACACATAAAAGCTAACATTTTTATTTATATTTTTATAAATATTATATTATTTATAATATATTTATTATTATAATAATATATTAATATATTATTTATAATATTATATTGTTTTTATTTATTATTTATAATATTACTATGTTTCCCCCAATTGTAGAATGGTGGTTCGTTCCATGACTACAGATATTCCAGAACCACAGATATTTCCTTTTTAATGAAATGACACCACTATACTTTTAAGGACAAACGTTATTCAAATCTTGTGTCATATTAGTATACTTCTAAATTCAAACAGAATATTAGTCAAAACTAGACAGAAAGGCAAAGCTTCAGAAAGAAAACAAAAATTTTGAAGGACTTACTGCTAACAAAGCCATCCTCTCAAGTAGCATCATATAATATGCTTGTCATAAACCTATAATTTTCTATTTTAAACACTATATTCAGAAGAAACCCAAATAGGTTTTTTTTGCAGTGTGAGCTATTAGAAAGATAACACATTTAAAGGGAGAGGAAAGACCCCAGCTCCGTATATGCAGAAATAGCACTCTAAATACACCACACAGGCAGCCTGAGATCTGTTTTGTTTTTGACACATATCAAGCTTTTTGGAAACAACAACTTCTTCTGATTACGTGCCCTCAATTTTCTGAAATATTCTGTTGGTCTGGGCGAGGTAGCACTTGTTTAAGAGCAGCTTCTGACTGACTGGCCGCGTTTATGGACGCAGTTAAATCTCTATCATCTCCAGACCTCTTTTCTGAAACAAGAAGAGAAAAACCTCAAGTTGAGAAAGAAACATAAAAATAAGAAATTGTGTGTGTGTGTGTGGTGGGGGGCCATGCTGCAGCAGGCAGGACCTTAGTTCCCCTGAGCAGGATCGAACCTGTGCCCCCTGCAGTGGAAGCGCCGCGTCCCAACCCCTGGACCGCCAGGGAAGTCCCAAGAAAATTCTTTACATGGGTGCTACCGTGACAAAATTAATGTCCTCTAAAAATGGGGAGGGGGAAGAGATGAGCATTCTAATTACTACAGGGAATTATTCCGACTGGCGTCATTTTAAAAAATATTTTGGTTCTCACATTGTACCTATTATCATATAAAACTTCTCGAAAAAGGTTATGAAATTGGTATATTTTATATTTTTCTAGGATGATATTTGGCAAGGCTGATAACCAATTAGTTCTTTGTTCTCTTTCATTAGTGCGTATTTTTCACATAATACTAAAGTCACCAAAAGCTGATTTCATTCTCCATGTGCCTCAGTGTGCTACTTACAAACAAGATCATGCAATAACCAGGAACATCCGAAAAACAGAATCATCACATACACTAAAAATCTCAAAAGAAATTCCAAGAGATTATTTAACAAAGATCATTTGAACATCTGAGCTAACACTGAAAAAATCCTTTAAAATATGAATTTATCATACACCTTCAAGATTAATTCAATCAACAAATTCCCTGTATTTCAAGAAATCTTCTTCTTGTTTACTTATCACTATTTTTAGCTGAAGTGGTTTTTATTTTCCTACTGCTAACATCCATGGAAATGGATGAACCATTTTTACTTGAGGGATTCAGGGTAATCGTACCTTAAAGACTTGGCAATTCTGGTTGGTAAAAGTATTTTGTTTTAAAAACACAAGTTACCTTTGACCACAGTATCATCCAATGACAGGCAGTAAAGATCTTTTCCCACTGTCCGGAATACAGCCTAACAAAAGAAACCTTTGGATTACTACCACTTCTTTATTATAAATACAAAATAATTAAAATCAGAAAGGGGACCATAGATACACCAGAAAAATGGTGAACAACAAAAAGAAATCCTATTAAGACTATGCCAATTTGATTTTATAATGAAGAATAATGGCAAGTATATTTTCTATTCTTCAAATACCCATTTATCTGGAATATCTCCACTGTAGCATTCCATGCAGGGACTAAAGTGTCCTTTTCCAATTTTCAGCTTTCAAGAGGTGAAGAAGGTCAATGATTTTTTTATAGTGAACAAATTCACTATATGTCCAACAAGAGGAGGAATGGTTTAATGAATCATTGTCTAGTAATGTCATGTAATATTATGCAGCTATGGCCTTCTGGTTGCAGCCAAGATGGAGTAAGCTGACTTACACTGATTACCATGGAAAATTCTGGAAAGAATACAAAAAGCAACTACCTGAGGCTTCTGAAAAGTAAATGGGATCAGAAATATAGAAGGACTGTAGTAAAAACTTGAATAACGACCCAAAACAGGGGTGAGTTTCATGCCAAATCACAGCTGCCAGGCTGGGGTGGGCAGCAAAACTGAGCGAAATCCCCTCTTTCTAGCCAGTGGAGTGGGGAAAGAGGCCCCGAATACTAAAGGGTGGGGCGTGGGGGGGGAAACCCCTTCACTGTTTTACTTTTTCTGCACAGCAGTCACAGTGCAGGCACCTACAAATCTGAGAGAAGACGCTGGCCAGTGGATTGAGGAAAACAGCCCTTTGTTATCTGAAGGGTCGAGAGGCAGGGGGTGGGGTGTGGGGGTTTTCTCTCTCTTTTCTCTATCTGCTTCACACCAGAGGCAGGCCTGTCAAACAGAGCTGCCTGGTCAGCACATGGGGAAACACTGGGAGAAGCATGCTTTCTGGCCAGAGGACCAGGAAACGGGGCCCCTGGGGGCTGAATAAGAGAGGACCCTTGGAGCCTCAAAGTATGGAGGAAATCTCAGAGAGGAAAGGAATTGGAAAATTTGAACCCCT